CATCCACACTGTCAACAGTGTTCTAAGAAATCAAGTATGCAAGGATTGTTTATGGGGATAACGCTTTTGGGGATACTTACCCAATGACTTATATTGCCCATAAAACATATGGCAGGTTTGACACTTATTAAACTATCTTATATGCCCCACATTTGGCAACAAACATTTTAAAGTAATTCACTTCCATATTATCATTATAAAACAAATTAGCAACTGCTGGAATACACATGTGGTATGACTTGGTAAGGTGCCTCAGAAGTTACATGGTAGGAATAATCATGGAGAACTTAGACAAGCAAATATTTCATGGGAGAAGTGAGACTTGAGATCTTGAGGAAGGTTAAGACTTCGTAAGCAGAGGGAAAAAAAAAGAACATTCTAAAAGGTGATGTTGGGTGGGGGTGGGACCTACAAGAGGTAGAAATGAATGTGGTTTCTCTAGGGAACAATTAGGATTTTGGTTAGACTGGAAAATTCAGCATGACTGCATGGCCCCTTCAAGGTAGGCTACCAGCTGAACAAGACTTCCATATGTACGTAACATATTAAGYAACACTAAATATAACTGTTAAAAGAGATCAGAGCCCTTGGGATTCTAATCTACTTCCTCTACAAATCAGTTACGTCATTTATGACTTCTATTATTCTGAAAGAATATTCATTTATCTGTCACTTTACTGACCTCATAAAATTATTTACTACCAGAACAAAATGAAATTTTTTGTCTCCAGATTTTAAACAAAAGGCAGCAGAATCAAGTACTCAAAAGGGGGAGGGGGTAATAGTTGATACATATCTACATGATAGTATGTGTGTGTGTGTGTATATATATATATATATATATATATATATATATATATATATAATCTTTTCAGAAATCCCTATCTGCTATAACTAGACACTAAATTTTTAAGTTTTTTAAAAATTAGTGCACTGTGAATATATAAAGGTAAAATTAACTGTGTTATATTTATTCATATATGTCCATAGGAAAGTCTGATCAGATTCATTCCACCATTTTAAATTCATTGTCTTACAACATGCATTTACAGATAGAAGAAGTTGGAGAATCTGGGAGACTAGGTTCAAGCAACTAGATAATTCAGGAAAGGCTAGGAGCAGGACAAGAACAGTCTCCTATTTTTCTGGAAAGAAAAAGTGGAAAAGATCAAGAACTGTTACAGAGTAATCTGTTATCCAAACTGGGTTACTTTTGAGAATAAAGGGGTATCAATTAATAACTACATTGGATAGGCAAAAATCAGGACACAGATCACCAATTGTCATTTTATGTATTATATGCCAAATGTCCTTAAAGGCTTTGAGAAATCAGAAAGAATTTAAAATAGGAAGGACTATGAGTCTAACATACACTATTAGGAAAGCTAACACTGACAGCGATAAGGACAAAGGATTAAAATGATGTAAAACTGAAGGAAGGCAATCAGGAAGTAATAGGTAGTTTTATAATTCTATGATATGGCAATGGTATAAACTAAAGTCAGGCCAGTGGAAACAGAATAAGAGGACAAATAAGAGGACTATAATGGAGGTAGAATATTCACATTTATTCATAATTAAAATAACCCTTATAAGCATTATAGTTTTATTTTCAAAAGAATCAGAAGACATGGCAGGGGCTGGGGATGTGGCTCAAGTGGTAGCGCGCTTCCTGGCATGCGTGCGGCCTGGGTCCGATCCTCAGCACCACATACAAACAAAGATGTTGTGTCTGCCAAAAACTAAAAATTAAATATTAAAAAAAATTCTCTCTCTCTCTTAAAAAAAAAAAAAGAAGAAGAAGACATGGCAGATAATCACTGTCTTACAAAAAAAAAAAAAATGGAAGCAGCAGTGTTTCAACTAGATCCTCAATTCCTAATAGCCTGTCATCTATCCATTCCTCCCTGTACTAAATGCAGAAATTAAGCTTCTTCTCTTTCTCCAACCAATCTCAACCTACTTTTGTAGCACTTATTTTTGCTTTCAATCTCATTTTTCTTTTTTGAAGTACAATATATACCAATGCAGAGGACTTTATTTTCCCACCTTCCAGTAATGGTTCCTATTTAAAACATAGCACCTATTTCCTTTCCTACTTAATCCACAAGTACTTTAATGAATTAGGTTGCACTTGCTATTATGTAATAGTCAAGGGCAACTTAATGGCTTTTTAAATCCTCAAGATACCTGCCACACAACATGCTCGGATTACCTCAGTGTTTTTGTTTTTCCTCTAACTTTCCTATATACCTGTATTTCCTTATCTAACTTTTTTCCGTGGAACACAGTTTTACCATTAATTTTATTTTTGCCCATRTTTTTGAGAATACCAGCTACCAGTCCCAGTGATTTAGCTATAATACAATGAAGCCCAGGAAACCAGGGTTCCCATGACCAAAGCTTCAGGAAGTGGGATTGAAGTGGATTCTAATGGAAGAGCAATAAAGAAAAGGCAATTCTTGTTTCCAGACTCCAAGGGTAGACTCTCTTCTTTAAACAACATTATGCATGCTTTTAAAATGATTCCACTGGCTGCCTAGCATAACACAGCATTTCTTAAATTGCTGTTCAGTATTATAACTGGGGGAAATAAAGAGAGAGGGGCTAAGTTTTCCCTTGGTGTCTTAAGTTTTGTGTTTTCATTTTAATCATAATCTTTTTTTAAAAAAAATCACATCTTCTGATCATCTAGCTGACAGTAGAACCAAGTTTGTGTCTACCAACGAGAAATTAACAATCTGCTTATTATACAATGCATTTATATAAAGTGAAAACAAAATTATGTCAAAGAATACTACGTGAATGAAGGGTGCACAATAATTTTAACAGACGGAAAAGAGAGGAGAATTAAGTTATTATTCTACACATTGAACAGGAATGGAAATCTAAGTAAAAGGGCTTTATAATTCAAGGTTGAGAAACATTAGAAATGTTATAGAAATAGCCAGGAATCTGGGAAAGCAGAGGAAAGTTAAAAACATAAAAATTTACCACAGCTCTTCTGTTGGCTATATTTTAATTATAATAAATCACTGCTTTTGTACCACTCTGGCTAATTGTTCTACTGGAGAGAAATAATCCAGGGTAAAAATGGAGAAAATGACACACACTAATGTTGGTGGCAGTGTTAATTAAAAARTAAATAAATAAGGACAGGGACTATTAAATAAGATTCTATGACCTCAATTTCAGCACTACATCTGTTGGTTATACACTGAGGATAACATGTGATAAATACTTAGATTACACTGAAAAAAAAAACTTTCTCTTTCTTCATAAAAATGATTATTACAGAAAACAGAAATATGGATTGGTAGAACAAAGAAGGTAAAATCACTAATATTTTTCTAACCCAAATCTGTTAGCCTTTTGGAAGATTTTCCTGTGTTCATTCAATATACAGAATTCCCTGTGTTGTTTTTCCTTTAAACTGGCTGAAATTACAGTATACTACAAACCATTTATTATAAACACTTTAACTTGTAATAAGCTAATGGATCCAAACTGCAATTTAGCCCCTAAATCCAAATAGGCTCCCTGGCAATCTCTGGGATAGAGCCAGGTGAGAAACTCCAGATATCTTGTGACTCAGATCTCAATTAAACCTTAATCAAAGATCAAAAGAAACCTTATCAAAGATTATTTGGTGCACATCATGAATTTTTTTTTAAAGGAAGGGAGTATACACCTTGGTCTGTTGGCCAACAAAAGCTATAACCAATAAATCTCTGGCACTAAAATATTACTGAGGTCTTAGACTTAAATAGGAAATAATTAGWAAAGAGAGGTAATGAGATTGTGAGAACTTTAAGAAAAGCAAATAGAATTACAATACCATTGAGAAGAACAGGAAGAAAGGGACAGACATGCTTTGACTCTAGGTAGTGTAAATTATTTAATCAACAGCTCTAGATTACTTCAATTCCTGTTTGTAAAAGATCTATTACCAACTAAATGAACTTTCAATGTACAAAACAAATAGCTCTGTGGATATTTTTAAATATAGAAAGTGTCTGCTTGAAATACATAATAGAGAGTACACTGAATCTAATTCACAAAAAAAAAAAACATACAGTGACATATAATGGTACTTAGCACATTACTATAAGTTTAAAGATCTAGCATTAAACACACACACACACACACACACACACACACACACACACACACAGTTTAATCCTGAATGTGTTACAGGTCGCCTATGTAACTTTGGATAACTTGCTTGGTTATCTTTGGTCAGTTTCGGAATCTGTAAAATAAAGAAGCTAGAGTTCACTCTGTTTCTATTGTTTTCTTTGCACACAATCTCACAAATCAAATTGAGATGATTGTAATAAAATCTTTCTTAAAATCATTTAAGTATCAAAGTTTTCTAGTAAATTAATAATTGTGCTTTTAGAACTGGTTCCATTTAATGTTAAGATTAGGTTTTTCCAATGGCTTTTGACATCCTGTAAATACAGCAATTGCTTGTAATATATACTCACAGCAAGATTACATCTGCTTTTTAATCTTGCTCCCAAAATACCAATAGAAAAGTAAACAAGGAAAGAAAAATCACACAACAACATCTATAATTAGATCTATGTTTTAATAATTTAAACAAAGAATATAGAAAATATATGAAATGTATGTTATCATTTGTTATATAATATTAAAGTATGCACTCTATGTAAATGAAGAGATTAACTTCTGAATTTCAGGTTGTCAAATTTTATATGTAATATCCTACTCCAATATTTTAATGATATAGATACATGGTCCTTACCTTGCAAATGAAAGCCCAGGCTGGAAATTGTCTACAGGAAATCAATGGGAACAAAACTGTACACAGTCAATGAAACACTGAAGTACAATTACTATCTTTACATGCAGAACTGYTATGTGCTTGTATTCAGGCAGCTATCTAGTCTCAAAATAATTCAGTTTATAAAGAACAAAAAATCCAAATCAACTATTGATTGATGTGGTTTCTTTAAAAACTAATTTTGACTCACCTTTGTCCATGGGTGTGCCTTAATTTGAGGGAATTTGAATTCTGTATAATTTGGGTTCATTTCTCTAATTTGCTCCCTTGTTGGTGTTCCCAGGACCTAGATAAAGGAAGAAAATTATTGCCATCTTTCCCCACATACTTATAGTCATTGTGGTTTAATGCATTGGTTTCATGACAAAAGAATTTCAAAGTCAAATTTAAAAAGTAACTAAGAGAATGGAGCAGAATTTTGGGAAAACATTTCAATTAGTAATTGACTTAGTAATTGAACAGCTCTAAATTACTATCAAATTCTATGTTAAACTATCTTAGACAGATTTCTGAGGATAATAAAAATGTAAACCTGGCTCATTAAAAAAAATTACTAAAAAATAGTCAAGTAACCCTCTGGTTTCCTTTCCTGTCAGATCTGATCACTGGCCTTAGCATCTGTGAAAGGAGAAAACCTAAATTCAAGCTGGTCTTAGAGTGTTGTAGTTTGGCATATAGTATGTGGGATAGTTTCAAACAGGTTTAAAAAAAAAATGCAGTAGGTCCTGGGTTTTATCCTCACCACTGGAAAAACAAAACAAAACAAAACAAAACAAACAAACAAACAAAAAAAAACAACAAAACAGTAAATAAATTAGACAAAAATTTTAAAAGTCAAGTAAGAATCAGGCATCATCATCTTTGTTCTATTTTAAAAAATGATCTGTCTGCAATTATCGAATCTGGAATGAAAGTATCTTTTACTCTCTTTGTAAGGTATACCCAAAGATCATATTACTAATATATTAGTCATCACTAATTTCATTCCATCACTGAATATTTATGAGTGTCCCCTGAGTATAAGGAACTATAGTATGATCTGTGGAGGACACAAAGAACAACAGATTTCCTACAATGAACTCACATATTTGTAAATTTTCAAAAAGAAATAAGGAATMAGGCAAAAATATATTAAGTACTTAGAGCTATACTAGGCACTAAACAAAGTACACGGAAGAAAGGTATCGGAAGAAAATATTAAATGCTAAAAATGGGTACTCTGAAGAGAGATACCACATATTATTCATCTTTATAATCCCAGAATGCAGAAAAAAACCAAAGTTTGTTGAAATATTTTATCATTTACAATTCAAGGACAATTACATAGAAGGAGAATAATGCAATGATAAGTAATGTGTGGTAGCAACCAGAGAATAATCAGGGATAGTTCTATAATCATCCAAGATAAAGCAAAAATTTTCATATTTTTGGTTGACWCTAATTCTCTAGACTCCATTAAAACTTTCAGAACTTCATTAAAAATTTAAAAACAGTTCATCATGGATTGGGAGAAAACATTTGCAAAACATATTCTGCAAAGTGTTTGAAATACATAAAGAATTCTTATAGTTTAGAAAATACTGAAGACACATCTGTATAATAAAACAAGTTTTATTAAGGCATTGATTGTCAAGATATGGAATCAACCTAGATTTTGGTATATGTACATGATGGAATACTATTCAGTTATAAAAAATGAATTTTGTCATTTATAGCAACGTGGATAGAACTGAAGGACAGTAAAATACTCAGGCATAYAAAGACAAATATTGCATGTTCTCACATGTGGAAGCAAAAAAAAGAAGTAGAAATAAGACACTGATTACCAGAACTTGGGAAGGGTATAGGAGAGGGAGAAATGGGAAGATGGTTAGTGGGTATAAGGGTGCAGTTGGTTAGATGGAGTAACTTCTAATGTTCTATAGCACAATAGGATTAAATATGGCTAACAACAATTAAATATTTCAAAATAGCAGGTAGAGAAGAATATGGATATTCCCGATACAAAGAAGTCATACATACCTGAAGTGATAGATATGCCAATTACCCTAATAAGATGATTACACATTGTATATACATGTGTTGAAAATGCAACACTGTACCCCATAAGTATGTATAATTAATATGTGTGAACCAAAAGTGAAGGAAAAACATTTCTTAAAAAATATTTTTTAGTTGTTAATGTATCTTTATTATTTATTTATTTATATGTGGTGTTGAGGATCAAACCCAGTGCCTCAAACATGCTAGGCAAGTGCTCTACCACTTAGCCATAACCCCAACCATAAGAAAAAACATTTTTAAAAAGACCTTTAAGACAGCAGACAATATAACTTGGAATAAAATGAGTAAGAAATAAATACAAAGCACTAAGAAGACAACTCAATAAAAACAGTCAAAAGACATCTCATCAAAGACAACAGAGACAGCAAATAGGCAAATGTTCACCATCATTAATTGTTAGGAAAACACTAATTAAAATCACAATATACCAATATGTACCTGACAAAAAGGCTAAAGTTTGACTGTACATATCATGTCTTGGCAAGGATGCAGAACAACTAAAGCTTTTAGAACTGCTAATGAAAGTGTACAATGGTGTAGTACCTTTGAAAAAGTTTCTTAAAATGTTAAATATATACATTTAATAAGATTCATCATTCCCATTCCTAGGTATTACCCAAGATAAATGAAAGCAAATATTTATACAAAACTTGTACACAAATGTACACAGCACCTTTTATGTAACTGCTAAAAAGTGGAAACAACCCAAACATCTATCAACAGGTAAATGAACAAATGGTGGATAATCATATGAAGAAATACTACTTGGTGATAAAAACAAACAAAAAACTAAAAAACATGAATAAATTAAAAAATATATGCTGAGTGAAAGAAGCTAGACCAAAAAGTACACCTAACTTATAAGCCCATACATACGGAATTCTAGAAATAYTTTTAGGTATAGTGACAGAAATAAGATTCATTCTGTCTACACGTGGCTGAAAAAAAGAATTACAGATACGGAAACTACTGAAGGTATATGCTTATGTTCATTATCTTAACTTTATAAATATATCCAGATATCAAAAGTTATCAAATTGTATACTTTAAATACGTGCAGTTTACTACATGCCAATTATAACTGCAATGAGAACTTTCAGAAATTATATTAGAATACATAAAGTTTGGGTTAAAATAGATGGAAGGGATATTCTGATCTGTATTATTCACTGGTATAAAAAAATAATCTAGTTAACTATAAACTGACCTTTAACCATTTAAAATTTCTGAGTAATCTYTTGATATTCTTGGAAAGAAAATTTAAAAATGTAAAAATAATCTACATTACAACACATCTTCTAAATCCTATTTCTAACACTACTCTGGGGGAGAGTACAGTCTTGGGGGGTACTAGTAATACATCTCCAACTATATACCCTCCTCTCATCCCTCTTGGAGTACATTTTTAGTTTAACAGAAAGGAACACGCTATCTGTATCAGGAAAGGAAATCTCTGGTCTCAGTAGCTATAGATAATAGACATTTATAAGCCAGGCATTGTTCATGCATAAAAGAAGAAGGCTAAAAAGCATTTGTTTTTATTTTCAAATACAAKCAAGCACTTATATATTATACTATACTATACTTCAGATGAAGGGGAGGGTGTGTCTGTGTATAAGTACTGGGAGACAGGGAAAAGAGTAAAGAAGAATGAGGGAGTACTAATGAGCCTATCAATAATTTTGTTCCTCCACATGCAATCCAGTTGAAAAACAACAGGAATGAAATGAATAAATGAGTATTTATAAATGCATAGATTCATTGAACCTATGAACTGTTCATTTTAAGTTATATAGCCTAACCAAGAGAAATTCTTATACATTTAAAACCACATGGTTCAAAGTAATAAACATTGATGACAAAAAGCAAAAAATCCATCAACAGAATTAATGTAAGTTGTTATATAGCCAATGGCATATAAACTAGCAATGTAAATAAATAAACTGGAGCTATCCATCTTATGGATGAACACAGGGATGAATTTTTACTCAACAATGAATACCTATAGTATGACTACCTTTATTAAAGTTCAAAACTAGCTGAGTGTAGGTTTTATATTTTTAAGTAAGAACACATGGAATTTCACTTTCCGTGCCTGGCTTATTTTACTTAACACAATGTCCTCCTCCTCTCTCTCTCTTTCTCTCTCTCTCTCTCTCTCTTTCTTTCTTTCTTTCTTTCTTTCTTCTTTCTTTCTTTCTCTCTCTGTCGCTGTCTCTCTCTCTCTTTCTTAATGGCCAGGGAGTATCCCATTGTGTACATATTTCATATTTAATTTGTGCATTCACTTGCTCATGGATAACTCAGCTGACTCTGTATCTTGGCTATAATCAGTAGGGCTGCAATAAACATGAGATGAGAGCCCAGTTATCTCTTTGATATACTACTCCATTTCCTTTGGGAAATGGACAACAGTGGAATAACTGGATCATATGGCAGTTCTATTTTTAGTTTTTTGAGAAATCATACTGTTTTCCCATAACAGACATACTAATTTACATTCTCACTAACAATGTGTTGTTCTTTCTTTGCATCCTTTGCCAGCAGGTTCTTTTTTTCTTTTGTCTTTTTAAATATAGCCATTCTAACTGGGGTAATATGGTATCTCATTTTGGTTTTGATCATCATTTCCCTGATGATTAGTGATGTTGATCATATGCTCATAAAAATGCTGGCGATTTGCATATCCTCTTTTGAAAACTGTATATTCAGCTCATTTGCCAATTTTAAAAATCAGATTTTTTTTGCTTTTTGTTTCCTATGTATTCTGGATATTAATATCTTGTTTGATAAACAGTCTGCAAATATTCTCTTCCATTCTGCAATCTATCTTCATTCTATTGTTTGCTGTGCAGAAGCTTCTTAGTTTGATAAAAACTGTTTTTGCTTCTGTTGCCTGAACTTATGGGGACATACTCCCCAAAATCGTTTCCTATATGGATGTCTTGAAGTTATGTTTCTTATGTTTTCTTCTAGTAGTTTCATATCTTACACTTAGGTCTTTGATTCATATTGAGTTGGCTTTTTTCTTTTTACATGGCAAGAGACAGGGATATAGTTCCATTCTTCTGTATATAGGTATCTACTTTTCTCATCATCATTTATTACAGAAATTATCCTTTCTTCTATGTTTTTTGGTGACTGTCAAATAATTTGGTTGTGAATGTGTGGATTTATTTCTGGATTCTCTCTTCTGTTCCAATGGTCATATCCTGTGGCGGC